CCCCACCTTGCTCCCCACCTTGCTCCCACTTGCTTCCCCACCTTGCTCCCCACCTTGCTCCCCACCTTGCTCCCCACCTTGCTCCCCACCTTGCTCCCCACCTTGCTCCCCACCTTGCTCCCCACCTTGCTCCCCACCTTGCTCCCCACCTTGCTCCCCACCTTGCTCCCCACCTTGCTCCCCACCTTGCTCCCCACCTTGCTCCCCACCTTGCTCCCCACCTTGCTCCCCACCTTGCTCCCCACCTTGCTCCCCACCTTGCTCCCCACCTTGCTCCCCACCTTGCTCCCCACCTTGCTCCCCACCTTGCTCCCCACCTTGCTCCCCACCTTGCTCCCCACCTTGCTCCCCACCTTGCTCCCCACCTTGCTCCCCACCTTGCTCCCCACCTTGCTCCCCACCTTGCTCCCCACCTTGCTCCCCACCTTGCTCCCCACCTTGCTCCCCACCTTGCTCCCCACCTTGCTCCCCACCTTGCTCCCCACCTTGCTCCCCACCTTGCTCCCCACCTTGCTCCCCACCTTGCTCCCCACCTTGCTCCCCACCTTGCTCCCCACCTTGCTCCCCACCTTGCTCCCCACCTTGCTCCCCACCATTGCTCCCCACCTTGCTCCCCACCTTGCTCCCCACTTGCTCCCCACCTTGCTCCCCACCTTGCTCCCCACCTTGCTCCCCACCTTGCTCCCCACCTTGCTCCCCACCTTGCTCCCCACCTTGCTCCCCACCTTGCTCCCACCTGCTCCCCACCTTGCTCCCCACCTTGCTCCCCACCTTGCTCCCCCACCTTGCTCCCCCACCATTGCTCCCCACCTTGCTCCCCACCTTGCTCCCCACCTTGCTCCCCACCTTGCTCCCCACCTTGCTCCCACCTGCTCCCCACCTTGCTCCCCACCTTGCTCCCCACCTTGCTCCCCACCTTGCTCCCCACCTTGCTCCCCACCTTGCTCCCCACCTTGCTCCCCACCTTGCTCCCCACCTTGCTCCCCACCTTGCTCCCCACCTTGCTCCCCACCTTGCTCCCCACCTTGCTCCCCACCTTGCTCCCCACCTTGCTCCCCACCTTGCTCCCCACCTTGCTCCCCACCTTGCTCCCCACCTTGCTCCCCACCTTGCCTCCCCACCTTGCTCCCCACCTTGCTCCCCACCTTGCTCCCCACCTTGCTCCCACCTGCTCCCCACCTTGCTCCCCACCTTGCTCCCCACCTTGCTCCCCACCTTGCTCCCCACCTTGCTCCCCACCTTGCTCCCCACCTTGCTCCCCACCTTGCTCCCCACCTTGCTCCCCACCTTGCTCCCCACCTTGCTCCCCACCTTGCTCCCCACCTTGCTCCCCACCTTGCTCCCCACCTTGCTCCCCACCTTGCTCCCCACCTTGCTCCCCACCTTGCTCCCCACCTTGCTCCCCACCTTGCTCCCCACCTTGCTCCCCACCTTGCTCCCCACCTTGCTCCCCACCTTGCTCCCCACCTTGCTCCCCACCTTGCTCCCCACCTTGCTCCCCACCTTGCTCCCCACCTTGCTCCCCACCTTGCTCCCCACCTTGCTCCCCACCTTGCTCCCCACCTTGCTCCCCACCTTGCTCCCCACCTTGCTCCCCACCTTGCTCCCCACCTTGCTCCCACCTTGCTCCCCACCTTGCTCCCCACCTTGCTCCCCACCTTGCTCCCACTTGCTCCCCACCTTGCTCCCCACCTTGCTCCCCACCTTGCTCCCCACCTTGCTCCCCACCTTGCTCCCCACCTTGCTCCCCACCTTGCTCCCCACCTTGCTCCCCACCTTGCTCCCCACCTTGCTCCCCACCTTGCTCCCCACCTTGCTCCCCACATTGCTCCCCACCTTGCTCCCCACCTTGCTCCCCACCTTGCTCCCCACCTTGCTACCCACCTTGCTCCCCACCTTGCTCCCACCTTGCTCCCCACCTTGCTCCCCACCTTGCTCCCCACCTTGCTCCCACCTTGCTCCCCCCCTTGCTCCCCACCTTGCTCCCCCACCTTGCTCCCCACCTTGCTCCCCACCTTGCTACCCCACCTTGCTCCCCACCTTGCTCCCCACCTTGCTCCCCACCTTGCTCCCCACCTTGCTCCCCACCTTGCTCCCCACCTTGCTCCCCACCTTGCTCCCCACCTTGCTCCCCACCTTGCTCCCCACCTTGCTCCCCCACCTTGCTCCCACCTTGCTCCCCACCTTGCTCCCCACCTTGCTCCCCACCTTGCTCCCCCACCTTGCTCCCCACCTTGCTCCCCACCTTGCTCCCCACCTTGCTCCCCACCTTGCTCCCCACCTTGCTCCCCACCTTGCTCCCCACCTTGCTCCCCACCTTGCTCCCCACCTTGCTCCCCACCTTGCTCCCCACCTTGCTCCCCACCTTGCTCCCCACCTTGCTCCCCACCTTGCTCCCCACCTTGCTCCCCACCTTGCTCCCCACCTTGCTCCCCACCTTGCTCCCCACCTTGCTCCCCACCTTGCTCCCCACCTTGCTCCCCACCTTGCTCCCCACCTTGCTCCCCACCTTGCTCCCCACCTTGCTCCCCACCTTGCTCCCCACCTTGCTCCCCACCTTGCTCCCCACCTTGCTCCCCACCTTGCTCCCCACCTTGCTCCCCACCTTGCTCCCCACCTTGCTCCCCACCTTGCTCCCCACCTTGCTCCCCACCTTGCTCCCCACCTTGCTCCCCACCTTGCTCCCCACCTTGCTCCCCACCTTGCTCCCCACCTTGCTCCCCACCGTTGCTCCCCCACCTTGCTCCCACCTTGCTCCCCACCTTGCTCCCCACCTTGCTCCCCACCTGCTCCCCACCTTGCTCCCCCACCTTGCTCCCCACCTTGCTCCCCACATTGCTCCCCACCATGCGCCCCACCTTGCTCCCCACCTTGACTCCCACCTTGCTCCCCCTTGCTCCCCACCTTGCTCCCCACCTTGCTCCCCACATTGCTCCCCACCTGCTTCCCCACCTTGCTCCCCACCTTGCTCCCCGACCTTGCTATGATCCCACCTTGCTCCCCACCTTGCTCCCCACCGTGCTCCCCCATTGCTCCCCACCTTGCTCCCCACCTTGCCCCTCACCTTGCTCCCCACTCTTGCTCCACACCTTGCTCCCCACCTTGCTCCCCACCTTGCCCTCCCCACCTTGCTCCCCACCTTGCTCCCCACCTTGCTCCCCACCTGCCTCCCCACCTTGCTCCCCACCTTGCTCCCCCACCTTGCTCCCCACCTTGCTGTCCCCACCTGCTCCCCACCTTGCTCCCCACCTTGCTCCCCACCTTGCTCCCCACCTTGCTCCCCACCTTGCTCCCCACCTGCTCCCACCTGCTCCCCACCTTGCTCCCCACCTTGCTCCCCACCTTGCTCCCCACCTTGCTCCCCACCTTGCTCCCCACCTTGCTCCCCACCTTGCTCCCCACCTTGCTCCCACCTTGCTCCCCCACCTTGCTCCCCACCTTGCTCCCCACCTTGCTCCCCACCTTGCTCCCCACCTTGCTCCCCACCTTGCTCCCCACCTTGCTCCCCACCTTGCTCCCCACCTTGCTCCCACCCTTTGCTTCCCCACCTTGCTCCCCACCTTGCTCCCCACCTTGCCTCCCCACCTTGCTCCCCACCTTGCTCCCCACCTTGCTCCCCACCTTGCTCCCCACCTTGCTCCCCACCTTGCTCCCCACCTTGCTCCCCACTTGCTCCCCACCTTGCTCCCCACCTTGCTCCCCACCTTGCTCCCCACCTTGCTCCCCACCTTGCTCCCCACCTTGCTCCCCACCTTGCTCCCCACCTTGCTCCCCACCTTGCTCCCCACCTTGCTCCCCACCTTGCTCCCCACCTTCGCTCCCTCACCTTGCTCCCCACCTTGCTCCCCACCTTGCTTCCCCACCTTGCTCCCCACCTGGCTCCCCCCACCTTGCTCCCCACCTTGCTCCCACCTTGCTCCCCACTTGCTCCCCACCTTGCTCCCCACCTTGCTCCCCACCTTGCTCCCCACCTTGCTCCCCACCTTGCTCCCCACCTTGCTCCCCACCTTGCTCCCCACCTTGCTCCCCACCTTGCTCCCCACCTTGCTCCCCACCTTGCTCCCCACCTTGCTCCCCACCTTGCTCCCCACCTTGCTCCCCACCTTGCTCCCCACCTTGCTCCCCACCTTGCTCCCCACCTTGCTCCCCACCTTGCTCCCCACCTTGCTCCCCACCTTGCTCCCCACCTTGCTCCCCACCTTGCTCCCCACCTTGCTCCCCACCTTGCTCCCCACCTTGCTCCCCACCTTGCTCCCCACCTTGCTCCCCACCTTGCTCCCCACCTTGCTCCCCACCTTGCTCCCCACCTTGCTCCCCACCTTGCTCCCCACCTTGCTCCCCACCTTGCTCCCCACCTTGCTCCCCACCTTGCTCCCCACCTTGCTCCCCACCTTGCTCCCCACCTTGCTCCCCACCTTGCTCCCCACCTTGCTCCCCACCTTGCTCCCCACCTTGCTCCCCACCTTGCTCCCCACCTTGCTCCCCACCTTGCTCCCCACCTTGCTCCCCACCTTGCTCCCCACCTTGCTCCCCACCTTGCTCCCCACCTTGCTCCCCACCTTGCTCCCCACCTTGCTCCCACCTTGCTCCCCACCTTGCTCCCCACCTTGCTCCCCACCTTGCTCCCCACCTTGCTCCCCACCTTGCTCCCCACCTTGCTCCCCACCTTGCTCCCCACCTTGCTCCCCACCTTGCTCCCCACCTTGCTCCCCACCTTGCTCCCCACCTTGCTCCCAACCTTGCTCCCCACCTTGCTCCCCACCTTGCTCCCCACCTTGCTCCCCACCTTGCTCCCCACCTTGCTCCCCACCTTGCTCCCCACCTTGCTCCCCCTGCTCCCCACCTTGCTCCCCACCTTGCTCCCCACCTTGCTCCCCACCTTGCTCCCCACCTTGCTCCCCACCTTGCTCCCCACCTTGCTCCCCACCTTGCTCCCCACCTTGCTCCCCACCTTGCTCCCCACCTTGCTGCTCCCCACCTTGCTCCCCACCTTGCTCCCCTCACCTTGCTCCCCACCTTGCTCCCCACCTTGCTCCCCACCTTGCTCCCCACCTTGCTCCCCACCTTGCTCCCCACCTTGCTCCCCACCTTGCTCCCCACCTTGCTCCCCACCTTGCTCCCCACCTTGCTCCCCACCTTGCTCCCCACCTTGCTCCCCACCTTGCTCCCCACCTTGCTCCCCACCTTGCTCCCCACCTTGCTCCCCACCTTGCTCCCCACCTTGCTCCCCACCTTGCTCCCCACCTTGCTCCCCACCTTGCTCCCCACCTTGCTCCCCACCTTGCTCCCCACCTTGCTCCCCACCTTGCTCCCCACCTTGCTCCCCACCTTGCTCCCCACCTTGCTCCCCACCTTGCTCCCCACCTTGCTCCCCACCTTGCTCCCCACCTTGCTCCCCACCTTGCTCCCCACCTTGCTCCCCACCTTGCTCCCCACCTTGCTCCCCACCTTGCTCCCCACCTTGCTCCCCACCTTGCTCCCCACCTTGCTCCCCACCTTGCTCCCCACCTTGCTCCCCACCTTGCTCCCCACCTTGCTCCCCCACCTTGCTCCCCACCTTGCTCCCCACCTTGCTCCCCACCTTGCTCCCCACCTTGCTCCCCACCTTGCTCCCCACCTTGCTCCCCACCTTGCTCCCCACCTTGCTCCCCACCTTGCTCCCCACCTTGCTCCCCACCTTGCTCCCCACCTTGCTCCCCACCTTGCTCCCCACCTTGCTCCCCACCTTGCTCCCCACCTTGCTCCCCACCTTGCTCCCCACCTTGCTCCCCACCTTGCTCCCCACCTTGCTCCCCACCTTGCTCCCCACCTTGCTCCCCACCTTGCTCCCCACCTTGCTCCCCACCTTGCTCCCCACCTTGCTCCCCACCTTGCTCCCCACCTTGCTCCCCACCTTGCTCCCCACCTTGCTCCCCACCTTGCTCCCCACCTTGGCTGCTCCCCACCTTGCTCCCCACCTTGCTCCCCACCTTGCTCCCCACCTTGCTCCCCACCTTGCTCCCCACCTTGCTCCCCACCTTGCTCCCCACCTTGCTCCCCACCTTGCTCCCCACCTTGCTCCCCACCTTGCTCCCCACCTTGCTCCCCACCTTGCTCCCCACCTTGCTCCCCACCTTGCTCCCCACCTTGCTCCCCACCTTGCCCACCTCCCCACCTCGCCCCCCTCTTCCTCTGTGTGCCCCTCCATGGAAGCTGCCAGCGCCAGGGGCTGCTCCTCCTCGTCGCAGCTCCCCACTGCCCCCACACCCGCTCCCACCTCCACTCTGTGGGCACGTCACGCAAGGAAGAGGATGGGGGGAAGCTTGTAAAGGGACATGGGGAAGCAGGGAAGGGGATGGGGGGAGGAAGGGAAAGGGACACGGGGAAGCAGGGGAGGGGATGGGGGGGAGCAGGGAAGGGGATGGGGGGAAGCAGGGAAAGGGACACGGGGAAGCAGGGAAGGGGATGGGGGGAGGAAGGGAAGGGGACATGGGGAAGCAGGGAAGGGGACATGGGGAAGCAGGGAAGGGGATGGGGGGATGAAGGGCAGGGGATGGGGGAACATAAAGGAAGGGGATGGGGGGACGAAGGGAAGGGGATGGGGGGAAGCAGGGAAAGGGACACGGGGAAGCAGGGAAGGGGACGGGGGGATGAAGGGCAGGGGATGGGGGGAAGCAGGGAAAGGGACACGGGGAAGCAGGGAAGGGGATGGGGGGAGGAAGGGAAGGGGACATGGGGAAGCAGGGAAGGGGACATGGGGAAGCAGGGAAGGGGATGGGGGGAACATAAAGGAAGGGGATGGGGGGAAGAAGGGAAGGGGATGGGGGGAAGCAGGGAAGGGGATGGGGGGAGGAAGGGAAGACACATGGGAAAGCAGGGAAGGGGATGGAGGGAAGCAAGGAAGAGGATGGGGGGAAGCTTGTAAAGGGACATGGGGAAGCAGGGACGGGGATGGGGGGAGGAAGGGAAAGGGACATGGGGAAGCAGGGAAGGGGATGGGGGGAAGCAGGGAAGGGGATGGGGGGAAGCAGGGAAAGGGACACGGGGAAGCAGGGAAGGGGATGGGGGGAGGAAGGGAAGGGGACATGGGGAAGCAGGGAAGGGGACATGGGGAAGCAGGGAAGGGGATGGGGGGAACATAAAGGAAGGGGATGGGGGGAAGAAGGGAAGGGGATGGGGGGAAGCAGGGAAGGGGATGGGGGGAGGAAGGGAAGACACATGGGAAAGCAGGGAAGGGGATGGAGGGAAGCAAGGAAGAGGATGGGGGGAAGCTTGTAAAGGGACATGGGGAAGCAGGGAAGGGGATGGGGGGAGGAAGGGAAAGGGACATGGGGAAGCAGGGGAGGGGATGGGGGGGAGCAGGGAAGGGGATGGGGGGAAGCAGGGAAAGGGACACGGGGAAGCAGGGAAGGGGATGGGGGGAGGAAGGGAAGGGGATGGGGGGAAGCAGGGAAAGGGACACGGGGAAGCAGGGAAGGGGACATGGGGAAGGCGGGACGGGGATGGGGGGAAAATAAGGGAAGGGGATGGGAGGAAGAAGGGAAGGAGATGGGGGGAAGCAGGGAAGGGGACGGGGGGATGAAGGGCAGGGGATGGGGGGAAGCAGGGAAAGGGACACGGGGAAGCAGGGAAGGGGATGGGGGGAAGCAGGGAAGGGGACGGGGGGAAGCAGGGAAGGGGACATGGGGAAGCAGGGAAAGGGACACAGGGAAGCACGGAAGGGGATGGGGGGATGAAGGGCAGGGGATGGGGGGAAGCAGGGAAGGGGATGGGGGGAAGCAGGGAAAGGGACATGGGGAAGCAGGGAAGGGGATGGAGGGAAGCAAGGAAGAGGATGGGGGGAAGCTTGTAAAGGGACATGGGGAAGCAGGGAAGGGGATGGGGGGAGGAAGGGAAAGGGACATGGGGAAGCAGGGGAGGGGATGGGGGGGAGCAGGGAAGGGGATGGGGGGAAGCAGGGAAAGGGACACGGGGAAGCAGGGAAGGGGATGGGGGGAGGAAGGGAAGGGGATGGGGGGAAGCAGGGAAAGGGACACGGGGAAGCAGGGAAGGGGACATGGGGAAGGCGGGACGGGGATGGGGGGAAAATAAGGGAAGGGGATGGGAGGAAGAAGGGAAGGAGATGGGGGGAAGCAGGGAAGGGGACGGGGGGATGAAGGGCAGGGGATGGGGGGAAGCAGGGAAAGGGACACGGGGAAGCAGGGAAGGGGATGGGGGGAAGCAGGGAAGGGGACGGGGGGAAGCAGGGAAGGGGACATGGGGAAGCAGGGAAAGGGACACAGGGAAGCACGGAAGGGGATGGGGGGATGAAGGGCAGGGGATGGGGGGAAGCAGGGAAGGGGATGGGGGGAAGCAGGGAAAGGGACATGGGGAAGCAGGGAAGGGGATGGGGGGAGGAAGGGAAGACACATGGGAAAGCAGGGAAGGGGGTGGAGGGAAGCAGGGAAGGGGATGGGGGGAGGAAGGGAAAGGGACACGGGGAAGCAGGGAAGGGGATGGGGGGAAGCAGGGAAGGGGATGGGGGGAAGCAGGGAAGGGGATGGGGGGAAGCCGGGAAAGGGACATGGGGAAGCAGGGAAGGGGATGGGGGGAGGAAGGGAAGGGGACATGGGGAAGCAGGGAAGGGGACATGGGGAAGCAGGGAAGGGGATGGGGGGAACATAAAGGAAGGGGATGGGGGGAAGAAGGGAAGGGGATGGGGGGAAGCAGGGAAGGGGATGGGGGGAGGAAGGGAAGACACATGGGAAAGCAGGGAAGGGGATGGAGGGAAGCAAGGAAGAGGATGGGGGGAAGCTTGTAAAGGGACATGGGGAAGCAGGGAAGGGGATGGGGGGAGGAAGGGAAAGGGACATGGGGAAGCAGGGAAGGGGATGGGGGGAGGAAGGGAAAGGGATACGGGGAAGCAGGGAAGGGGATGGGGGGAGGAAGGGAAGGGGACATGGGGAAGCAGGGAAGGGGAAATGGGGAAGCAGGGAAGGGGATGGGGGGAGGAAGGGAAGACACATGGGAAAGCAGGGAAGGGGATGGAGGGAAGCAAGGAAAGGATGGGGGGAAGCTTGTAAAGGGACATGGGGAAGCAGGGAAGGGGATGGGGGGAGGAAGGGAAAGGGACACGGGGAAGCAGGGAAGGGGATGGGGGGAAGCAGGGAAAGGGACATGGGGAAGCAGGGAAGGGGATGGGGGGAGGAAGGGAAGGGGACATGGGGAAGCAGGGAAGGGGATGGGGGAACATAAGGGAAGGGGATGGGGGGAAGAAGGGAAGGGGATGGGGGGAAGCAGGGAAAGGGACACGGGGAAGCAGGGAAGGGCACAGGGGGAAGCAGGGAAGGGGATGGGGGACAGCAGGGAAGGGGATGGGGGGAAGCAGGGAAAGGGACACGGGGAAGCAGGGAAGGGGATGGGGGGAAGCAGGGAAGGGGATGGGGGGAAGCAGGGAAAGGGACATGGGGAAGCAGGGAAGGGGATGGGGGGAGGAAGGGAAGGGGATGGGGGGAAGCAGGGAAAGGGACACGGGGAAGCAGGGAAGGGGACATGGGGAAGCAGGGACGGGGATGGGGGGAATAGATGGGAAGGGGGTGGGAGGAAGAAGGGAAGGAGATGGGGGGAAGCAGGGAAAGGGACACGGGGAAGCAGGGAAGGGGATTGGGGGAGGAAGGCCAAAGGTGGTGTGGGGAAGGAGAGAGGTAAGCGGTGTGGTGGTGAAAGGCGATCATTAGGGGAAGGGCCACCGTGTGTGTTGGTTGGAAAGGGGGCGTGACTGGCCCAAATGAGGTGGGAAGGGAGATGGGAGGGATGGCGACAGTGACGGAGGTGCCAGGGCGACGAGGGGAGAGAGATACGGGGATTGCGAGGGGACGAGCAGGAGGGAGGGCGATGAGCAGCAGGGAGCGCGACGAGACAAAGGGGGGCAACGGGCGGAAGGGAGCGCGACGAGGGGAAGGTAGGGCGGCGGGTGGTCGGGAGGGCAATGGGAGGAAGGGAGGGCGACGAGACGAAGGGAGGGTGACGGGCGGAAGGGATGGCGACGGCGGAAGGGAGGGCGACGGGCGGAAGGGAGGGCGACGGGCGGAAGGCATGGCGACGAGCGACGGGCGGAATCTATGGCGACGGCGGAAGGGAGGGCGACGGGCGGAAGGGAGGGCGACGGGCGGAAGGGAAGGTGACGGGCGACGGGCGGAAGGGATGGCGACGGCGGAAGTGAGTGCGACGGGCGGAAGGGAAGGTGACGGGCGGAAGGGAGCGTCGGCGGAAGTGAGTGCGACGTGCGCTAGGGAGAGCGACGGGCAGTAGGGCGACGGCGGGAGGGAGTTTGATGGGCGTAAGAGAGTGCGACGTGCGGAAGGGAGTGCAGGCGTGCGGAAGGGAGTGCGACGGGCGGAAGCGGGTGCGTGGAACGTACATGTGAGTCGAGCGCCCGATCCGTGCGCTTGATCCGTGCGCTTCGAACGTACTTGCGAGCGCCATCGTCCCTGTAGAATTGGGGCGTGACATGACGTTTTTCTTTAGGCTGGCTAATTTTATTTTTGTTGGAGCGAAAAACCAACAGACTGCTGCAAGGATATAGACATCTCGCTGCCATTGTCTAAAAGCGATACTACGGGCTCTTGTGGTCCTGAACAGCGGAGCGCACTACGTGTCCTAGACTCAATATGGCTGCACATAAGTACAACTTGGTTTTCAAGTTTACTGAATGTGAACAGTGGTCCAACTCCCGTTGACACTTCACGCGGAATCCTTTTTTTTGTCGCTGGCCAATCATGCATCAGAGTTGTGAAGCATCTCATCCGTGAGGGGACGGAAAGCTGCACTTCGGGTGGTAACCTGGTTTTTGGCGAGTTCATATTCAAGAATCTTGAATTTGAAAAATGCCATGTGGAACTCGGGCTTTAAGCTTCCTCTGTTCTCTCATCTGGATTGTTATTGATATCCTTTTTTGGATTGTGACTGATATCCTCACACTTCGCGTTGACATTTTAATGAGGGCCTGCTCTAGTGTGACACATTCACTGGTCATAGGTAATATGATATCAGCTGGCCCACTCTATCGAACACAGGTGTCAGGTTGGTGTTTTTCTTCGGAAAGTCAATGTACTACACTGCCCAAATTCTAGCTGGACCACGTGCATTTTGATGAACGTACACCCACCCTTCCATTTCCTTTTTTTTAGTCAGGTTCAGCAGCGTTCACTGCCGAAAGCATCCCAATTGGGAGCTACAGGTTTACAAGACACCGAGTCGAACCGAACTCGTTTCTGCTCGGTATTAATTCGTGCTTGTACAGCTTCGCAACTCGGCTTCTACTGTAGTTTCTGTGCACCAACTCCAACCAATCTTTGTGCCGAGTTCTGTCCAGTTCCGTACAGTCAGCCTCGGAGAGAGCGATGCTGTCCTGTGCTGGATGCTGCGACCAATAGGGGTAAAATACGATGGACAGAGACCAATGAAGTTCTGGAAAAAAAAATTCCGACGTCTCACTGATATTTTTGGGAATTTTCATGAATGAGATCATACCACTTCCACATCTACACGTATGAAAGAATCTGCGAAAGTGCGGCAGGCCTCAAGTTAAAAATTCTCAATCCCACATCTCGTTTGTGCCATTGGTTTGATGTTGGTCAGGGCAGGCGTGAGTGGATGCGATGTGAGTGGAGCCGGCCCCCGCCCTGGTTGCTATTGTCTTGTCTCAACCGACGGCGGGCAGAAGAAACATATCCAGGTAATTCCAAATGGGGCGGGGAACCCCCTGAACATAAGTCGGGATTCCGTTCCATGCCAGTTTCTACTTCCTCCCTGGTGTGGATGCTATTTCGCTCTAAAATTCGCCCTCCCTAGTGCACGAAAGTACACACCAGCGAGAGTGTTGTGATGTGACGCATGCTCTGGGGTTGATGGTAAACAGTCTCTCGCACTGTGTACTGTACTGTATCTTGTAAGATGGGGCACAGTTCAAGTACAAATCGGGAGAGTGGTGGTGGTGACAAGTTGTGACTTAAATGCAGAACGCGCTTATGTTCTGGGCAGACTGGTCTGTATGAGATGGATAATAGTGAAAGTACATATTTGTATTGGCAATGTAGGATCACACTATAAAGCGCAAACAAACATCAACAGTCGTAACTGCAGCTGATGGGCCTAGGCTAGAGATTGCTGGGAAATGTACTTGTGTGCCCTTGAAATTTGAGATGTTAGAGAGGAATGTAATATCTGGCGACGAGTTGAGCCTTCATCGGAAACAGGTGTATAGCTGGTGGGGAAACTCGCCGAGCAATAACATCATCTGTTTCACTTTCACAACCACACAAAACCACAGGCTTGAGCAATGTTTTCTGGCACCTTGTGTGATGTGGCGTGAAGTGCACGGATGAGCCAGCAAGCCGGCTTGGTTGCACTGCCTATTTTGTCGCTCGTGTGCAAGCTGAAGCAGACTGGTTCGAGAAGGCAAAGACGCGCATGGTTCACAATCTCTGATCAAAGAAGTGCGCTGCACGAATCACATCGCTTCAATTGATGCCAACCTGCGCATCCACCACTCACAATCCGCCTGGTCCTTTCACGCGTGCAGAGATTTTCCGTCAGCAGCCGTCTCTTCGGAATTCTCTGAATTGGGTTGGGTTCCCTAATCTGGGGGGAAGAGGGGGAAGGAGGTTGGGAATGTCAGAGTCCATAACCAGCCCCGCCGATCTTCAAACGTCTCAACCGAAGTTGACCGATGCAATTGCTGAGTCAACTAGCGAGTGACGGTTCAGAAACGCGTTGCACACAGAGAGCAAGCACAACAGAAACCCATCAGCCTCTAATATCCATAATAAATCTCAACCAAGACTCATTCCGTCTTGTCTCTCTCAACGAACTGAAATATCCCCATTTTCGTCCAATCTCCTCAGCGACTTCGTCAACAAAGCTACGCCAGTGGAAATATTACATCCTCGTAACGTCACACCCACCGGCGCTCGAGCACTGACTGCTCCGAGAGCCATTTTTTTCCAGACACGGCCGAAATGGACCGCTTTACTCCCCAGCATTCCTCGGAGCTCGCGCGTCGCTGCGTCTTCAGAGACATGCTAGGCGAGGGTCAGTCGGGCCGCGTGTGGCGCTGCGTCGACCGCGCGACGGGGGAAGCCTTCGCGTGCAAGCAGGTGAACAAGCGCGGGCTCTCCCCCGCGGCGGAAGCGGATCTCCAGCGCGAAATCACCCTCTTAATTATCCTCCAAGGCCACCCTAACATGCTGCGTCTCGACAGCCTGTACGAGGACGCGAAAGCCGTGTATATTCTTACGGAGCTTTGCGACGGCGGAGATCTCTTCGGGCTGCTCGCGGACCATCCGCGCGGGCTCGATGAGCGCACAGTTGCGCGGATCTTCGCGCAAGTTGCGCGCGCCGTTCAATGGTGCCACGACCACCGCGTCGTGCATCGGGATATCAAGCCCGAAAACATCCTCATTTCGCGCCGCCATACAGTGCTTCCCGACACCGCGGACGCCGCCGCCGCCGCCTGCGCAGCGGGGAAAGCGGAGTACGACGTGCGGCTCGGGGACTTCGGCCTTGCGTACCAGCTTCCGCGCGACAAGTGCATCGTGGGGCTCGCAGGAAGCGCGCCGTACGAGGCGCCCGAGGTGCTCGCGCGCGCGCCGTACGGCTGCGAGGCGGACGTGTGGTCTCTAGGCGTGCTGCTGTACGCGCTGCTCTCCGCCTCCTGGCCCGCGTTCCACGCGGGCGAGCGGAAACTCGTCCCCGCGGAGGACTTCGGGTACTTTCCCTGGCGGAAGGATGCGCGCGCGGATGGGGGGAAGCGTGAGGTGTCGTGGGCGGCTAAGGATCTGATCTGCCGCATGATGACCGTTGATCCTCAGGAGCGGATCGACATCGACGGTATTCTGGACCACCCGTGGCTAATTCGTTATGCGACGCACTCAAATGCTGCTGCTCCTGTGGCGGAAACAAGAGAGGACACGTCAGCAGCATCAGCTCTCAAGATGAGGCCGGCAATGGCCAAGGAAACGGCAGCCGAAGAAGAATACAATGAGGCGTATGATGAAGCATATGAAGAAGACTTCGATGGCGCATGCGAGTCAGCTTATAACGAGGACCAACACGTGAAGTATCGAGATATGGCAGAGTCAAGGAAGCAAGACGCCGCTCACGTGGACGGAGAAAAGGCGTGCAACAAGATGGCCCATGCTGACAGCGGCTCGAGCGGTATGACATGCATCAGCAGCATCAGCAGCAGCAGCGTTGCGCTCAGCTTGAGCAGGAGCAGCGATACGAGAACCAGCTGCACCACTCCCAACAGCAGCAGCGGCAGCTCCAGCTACTCAGGGAGGACACTCCTCAAGTCCTTTTCCTCTTCTAAGTAACCAGAGTGTCATTTCCCTTCGCCTCAACTCCAGCTGCACCACTCCCAACAGCAGCAGCAACTCCCAACTTCTGGCTCCTACTTGGCTCCTACCATTCACATTCCCCTTAACTACCATATTTACCACCATTGGTACCGGACATTTCGTTGCAGCTTTTTTAGAGCTCCCTGAGAATGAATTTGGTAGCTCGTGTTGTTGCTTGCTGCGACTGCCCTGGCTAGACGGCCCTGGCTGGGTTCATTTGAATGGTTCCTCTACCCTCCCGTATAGGGAGGCGTGTTTTTGCCATGTATCCTTGGAGCTTGAATGGCTTGCAAGGCCCGAAACTGCTTGAAGGTTGCAAAGCCTGAGTTGACAGTCACAACCTGCAAGGCCCAACAACAAGTGTCATCAACTTGAATTGTTGGCATTCTAGTGTCACCCACTTGAATCTCAACGAACGTCAGTAATATAGGTATGGGTACTTGCATGTGCACTTGGGATAACACCGAAGAATGGGATTATGGGATATTGGTGGGACGTTCTTCCACCTTTGAGGGCACCACTGACATGGGGTCAAACGACAGGGTCAAACGACAGGGTCAAACGACAGGGTCAAACGACAGGGTCAAACGACAGGGTCAAACGACAGGGTCAAACGACAGGGTCAAACGACAGGGTCAAACGACAGGGTCAAACGACAGGGCCAAACGACAGGGCAAAACGACAGGGCAAAACGACAGGGCAAAACGACAGGGCAAAACGACAGGGCAAAACGACAGGGCAAAACGACAGGGCAAAACGACAGGGCAAAACGACAGGGCAAAACGACAGGGCAAAACGACAGGGCAAAACGACAGGACAAAACGACAGGGCAAAACGACAGGGCAAAACGACAGGGCAAAACGACAGGGCAAAACGACAGGGCAAAACGACAGGGCAAAACGACAGGGCAAAACGACAGGGCAAAACGACAGGGCAAAACGACAGGGCAAAAAGACAGGGCAAAACGACAGGGCAAAACGACAGGGCAAAACGACAGGGCAAAACGACAGGGCAAAACGACAGGGCAAAACGACAGGGCAAAACGACAGGGCAAAACGACAGGGCAAAACGACAGGGCAAAACGGCACTGTATGACGAGCAGACGAGGGGGTAGACTAGGAGAGGGGGGCAGAAGGGGGTGGGGGGAGGTCGGGGGGTATGCAAGCGAATAGATTCTGGCGACAAAGGGAGAATATGTGACTGTGTTTTGAGTCGACTCAAAACACGAATAAATTCTGGCGAAAAATGGAGAATATGGAATGAGCACGCGTATCCAAACTCGGTGCAGCTGCAGAAGAGAAGAGGCAGGCCTTACTTGGAATGAACCTGGTACTTCTGGGTGATGCAGGTGACTGGTGATGATGCCAGGCAGGCAGAATGATGCAGACTGATGCAGACTGATGCAGGGAACTTGGTCTTCCATTGCAGGTAATGTGGTCTTCCATTCGGTCTGGTCGGTCACTTGGCCGGTCACTTGGTCACAGGCGGAGCAATGCTGGGCAGGATCTTGGCCAACAGCTGCGTGCCACATGGCGGGCTGCCATGTGCGATGGCGGAGGTCATGTCCGGCAGCTGCCTCTCCAGCATGTCGTATGCGTCAGCAAAGGCCTGATGGGGTGGGGCCCGTGGGCGGGGGGGGGGGGAAGAGGCAGGAGCAGGGAGCAAGGAAAGGGGTGCATAGAATCCACAAGAGAATGAAAACGTGCACAAGTTGAAAGGGGGGGGGATGGCAGAGGTCATGTCTGGCAGCTGCCTCTCCAGCATGTCGTATGCATCGGCAAAGGCCTGATGGGGTGGGGCCCGTGGGGGGGGGAGAGGCAGGAGCAGGGAGCAAGGAAAGGGGTGCATAGAATCCACAAGAGAATGAAAACGTGCACAAGTTGAAGGTGGGGGAAGTTGGCGGAGGTCATGTCTGGCAGCTGCCTCTCGAGCATGTCGTATGCGTCGGCGAAGGCCTGATGGGGGGGGGGAAGAGGAGGAGGGGGGAGGAGGCGGGGATAAATGAGACGAGGTGGCAGAGGTGAGTTGTATGGCAGAGGTAATGTCTGTCAGCTGCCTCTCCAGCATGCCGCGTGCGTCGGCGAAGGCCAGATAGGGTGGGGAGAGGGGGCAATGAGGGGCAGGCAGAGGAGCCTTTTGAGTTGACTTCTGAGTTGAGTCAAAGGCCACCTCAATGTCTGTCACATGCACCGGCAGAGGCCTCATGGGAGGGGAGAAGGGGCGATGCGGGGCAGGCAGAGGTGCAACGCGAGAAACGAGTGTTGTATAACAGTTGTGAGGGGCGAGAGAGAGAGACGAGTGAGGGGCGGGAGAAAGAGAGGGTTCAGTGGATGCATAATACAATAGCTTTAATCAATGAATCAGTTGCACACCTTTGGTGCGTTGCCCCACGCACCTTGGTGGTGCACTCATGAATGCATCAACTGCACACCTTGGTGCATTGCAGGATGCGGAAGCAGTTGCGGCCAACGTTGTTGGTTGGATCCAACGGGTCCTCTATGTGTAATGGATCGATGCTGCCATGCCATGACATGCCATGCATGCATGCGCAACCATGCACATATGAATGCACACACATGCGCACATATGCTCACACATGCGTACCGATGCGCACACAGGAATGCATACATCCACACACATGTGCACGCATGCGCACACATGCCCGCACATGCACACATGCACAAACATGCACACACATGCATACACATGCATGCACACATGCGCACACATGCATGCACACATATGCAGACACATGCATGCACACGCATGCATGCACATGCACACACATGCACACACATGAACGCATGCACACACATGCGCAAAAACACACTCACACGCACATATGCACAAACACATACATGCACGCGCGCACGCACACTCACAGACATTAGCATGCACACGCATCGGGAGAGAGGACACGCGCTAACATGTGTGAAGGGTAAACACATGCAGCATGATGCATTACGCAAGGTGCATGATGCAAGGGCGACCAGAATACGCGGAAGGTACCCATAACGGGCACTGGAATTCGATAAAAAGAAAATATCATGATATTTCCAAAGGTTCCTCGAAACCCAAAATCCTAAACCCTGACCCTAAACCTAAACCCTATTCCCATTTCTTTGATGAAGCTTCCTGGCAAGGGCGTCTCACCTCTGAGAGCGGTCACGCTCGAGAAAGGCCCCTCCCAGCCTGATGCTGGCAGCCATGCGACGCGGGTCAAACACACAACTGTTGGGTGGGAGAGAGGTGGGGGAGGAGGATTTTGGGGGAGGGAGGAAGAGAAGGGGGAAGAGGGGAAGGTGTGGGGGTTGAGAGAGGAAAGACGAAAGTCAAACACACAGCTGTGGCGCAAGATGAGTTGGGGGGGGAGGATGAGAGGAAAGAGGAGAGGAGAGAGGACGGGAGAGGAGAGAGACGAGATAAGAGAGGAGCGAAGTGAGAGGATGGAGGAGCAAGGAGATGTGAAAGAGGAGGGAGGAGGGAAATTTGCGAGGGAAGAAAGGAGAGCGGGGTAGGGAGGCAGAGGGAGTGGAAGGGTGGGTTACCCATGCATGCACGCACCCATGCCTGCACGCACCCATGCATGGCTGTGGGGCACAGATGGGCGGGGCACCCACCCATAGAAGTGCAGGAAGTCAAGCAGCAGGCTGCCCAGATTCTGCCACTGAGGGGGGCGGCCGATGTGCGGCTGGATCTGCAGGAAACGAGTTATCAGCAGTAACTGGTGAATGGGGGGGGGAGGGGGAGAGGGGGAAGGTAGGGGTTGAGGGTGGGGTTTTGGGGGAGGATTAGAGGTGAGAGTGGTGCTACACAGCAAAGAAAGGATAGAGGCAGGCGGCGGTTGCTGTGCGGGGGGGTTGTGCCGACTCACGAGGCAGTAGGAGACGATTTTTGAGTTGACTCAAAAATCGTCTCATCACACGCGAAAGGATAGAGGCAGGCGGCGGTTGATGTGCGGGGGGGTTGTGGCAACTCACGAGGCAGTAGGAGGAGAGGCCGCCAGTGTAGGGGTGGTCAAGGCTGCGATCTGTGAGGAATTGCTTCAGCACCAGCGCCAGCGGCGGGATGGCTGGGAACTGCGCCGTGAGCTCACGCACCTGAAAAAAGCACACGGGAAGGGAGGGGAGGGGAGGAAAGACAGGGCAAGTAGGGGTTGGGATGTTAGGCTGCGGTCTGTGAGAAACTGCTTCAGCACCAGCGCCAACGGTGGGATGGCTGGGAGCTGCGCCGTGAGCTCTCGCACCTGCAGGGGGCACACAGAAGGAGAGAGGAGGGAGGTTAAAAAGGGCACGTACGAGGCGAGGCTTCAGGCTGCGGTCTGTGAGAAACTGCTTGAACACCAGCGCTAGTGGTGGGGTGGTAGGGAACTGCGCTGTGAGCTCTCGCACCTGCAGGGGGCACAGGCAAGCAGAGGGGAAAGGGAGGAGAAAGTAGGAAACGAGGCATCACGCTGCAGTCTGTAGGGAACTGCTTGAGAACCTTTGAGAGTTCTCACAAGTGACTCAAACATTGAGGAACGGCTTCAGCGCCAGCACCAGTGGTGGGGTAGTTGGTAGGGAACTACGCTGTCAGCTCGCTCGCGTGCCTCTCATATCACACACAGCAACCCACCAGCTCAGCAGTGCGCAGGCCCGAGTGTGAGCCGCCCTCAAAGCTGATGTCCAGACGCACGTTCCTCCGGTCGTCCACGTTGCCCCACGGGCCCCTCGCCCCGCCCCTCACCACCTGCACCTGCACCTCCCCCCCCACCACTGCTGCTGTTGTCTTTCGAGCCGTCTCAAACGGCGCCTGCACCTGCTGCACCTGCACCTGCACCTCTCCTGCTGCTGCTGCCTTCTGAAACGCCTTCAAAGGCACCTGCACATCCCCCCCTGCTGCCCCTCCTCTCCCCTCCTCCTTCTCCAACTCCCAATCCGCCTTCCGACCCCCATCTGCCTTCTCCGAACACCCTTCTCCTTTGCCCGGTATCTCCCCTGCCCCTCTCGTCTCTCCCTTCCCCATCTTCGTGCCCTCTTCCTGCCCTACTGCCCCCAGCACCTTCCCAGAAACTGCTTCCTCGGTTGGACTGATGTGACTGCTGCCGCTGGCAGCAAAGGTAGGGATTGGTTTTTGAGGCGCCTCAAAAGGGACGACTACCCCCGGAACTCTGCTCTCTCCTGTGTCTCCTGTGTTTTCCATATCTTCCTTGAAACCTTTGATTCTCGGGACTCTGCTGTTACCCCCCCCTGCAGCTGTGACAGCAGCCATGCGAGTAACAGCTGGAGGCGTGGCAGCAGCACTTGCAATCTTGTCCTCACTGACACAAGAATCCAGGTGCTCGCCTCCTGCGTGTGCAAGAGCCACGTCAGCAGCGGCCACGTCAGCAATGGCCACGTCATCAAGGTCCACATCGGCAAGTGCCACATCGGCAATTGCCACGTCAGCAGCGGCCAAGTCAGCAGGACCGACGTCGGCAAGGACAGCCGGAGCCACATCAGCAGCAGCTGCAGAAGGAGCCACGTCAGCAAGTACAGCAGGCGCCACGTCAGCAGAGAGGCGGGATGTGTGGGCAGGGAGGCGGGCAACGAGCATGATGATCGGCACCATGGCGTTCTCAACAGTCTTGATCGAATCGCTCTTCACCCAATCCTGGTCCGCCAGGTGGCGCGCTGCGTGCTGCAGACACGTCTCCTTGATGCCATTGCGCCCCTCCAAGATGCCTGCCTCCTTTATGGGCTCCTGTTCATATGTGGATGAAAGGGGTGTTGGAGGATGGGAGACAGGGGAAGAGGAAGTAAGTAAACACGCTGTTGACGCGACTGCAGGGCAGGGCGAGCGAGCATGTGAGGGCGACACCACAGCACAAAGCACACAGGAAAAGAGAGGGAGAGATGGTAGGGACATCTCACCAGGTAGGGGCATCTCACCAGGTAGGGGCATCTCACCAGGTAGGGGCATCTCACCAGGTAAGGGCATCTCACCAGGTAAGGGCATCTCACCAGGTAAGGGCATCTCACCAGGTAAGGGCATCTCACCAGGTAAGGGCATCTCACCAGGTAAGGGCATCTCACCAGGTAGGGGCATCTCACCAGGTAGGGGCATCTCACCAGGTAAGGGCATCTCACCAGGTAAGGGCATCTCACCAGGTAAGGGCATCTCACCAGGTAAGGGCATCTCACCAGGTAAGGGCATCTCACCAGGTAAGGGCATCTCACCAGGTAAGGGCATCTCACCAGGTAAGGGCATCTCACCAGGTAAGGGCATCTCACCAGGTAAGGGCATCTCACCAGGTAAGGGCATCTCACCAGGTTGCGGACGGGCGGCAGGTGAACGAGGATGTCAACGTCACTGGAGGGCAGGGCGAGCGAGGATGTGAGGGCGACAGCACAGCACACACAGCACAAGAGAGGGAGAGATGGTAGGGGAGAGTCGGAGGGAGCATCTCATCTCACCAGGTTGCGGACGGGTGGCAGGTGCACGAGGATGTCAACGTCACTGGAGGGCAGGGCGAGGCCCGTGGCGTTGGATCCAAAGATGGACACGCGGGAGCGCGGCCACAGCACCTGAGGAGGCAAGCAACAATAGGGGGAATGAGCGTGAGTGTGAGGTAGGGGAGATGGTGAGTGTTTGGTCGGCTTGCATAGGGGCGAGGCCCGTGGCGTTGGAGCCAAAGATAGACACTCAAGAGCGCGGCCACAGCACCTGCAGGGGGGCAGGCAAGTCAGGAGGGGAGCCGAGTGGAAGCACAATAGGGGGGACGCACCTAAATGTGGGCATTGGAGTTTGGAAGGTTGTGGCGTTGGAGCCGAAGACGGACACTCGGGAGCGCGGCCACAACACCTGAAGAGCTGTTACCATGACGCATCTGTTACCATAACGCACCTGTTACCATAACGCACCTGTTACCATAACGCATCGGTTACCATAACGCACCTGTTACCATAACGCACCTGTTACCATAACGCACCTGTTACCATAACGCAAATGTTACCATATCGCACCTGCTACCATAACGCACCAGTTACGATAACGCACCTGTTACCATAACGCACCTGCTACCATAACGCACCTGTTACCATAACGCACCTTTTACCATAACGCACCTGTTACCATATCGCACCTGCTACCATAACGCACCAGTTACCATATCGCACCTGCTACCATAACGCACCTGCTACCATAACGCATCTGTTACCATAACGCACCTGTTACCATAACGCACCTGTTACCATAACGCACCTGTTACCATAACGCACCTGTTACCATAACGCACATGTTACCATATCGCACCTGCTACCATAACGCACCAGTTACCATAACGCACCAGTTACCATAACGCACCTGCTACCATAACGCACCTGTTACCATAACGCACCTGTTACCATAACGCACCTGTTAACATAACGCACTTGTTACCATAACGCACCTGCTACCATAACGCACATGTTACCATAACGCACCTGTTACCATAACGCACCTCTTACCATAACGCACCCGTTACAATAACGCACCCGTTACAATAACGCACCTGTTACCATAATGCACCTGTTACAATAACGCACATGTTACAATGACGCACAAGAGGAGTTTGAGGATGAGTGTGGATATGATGCTACGATGTGCTACGATGGGTGTTTTACCGCGAATTGCCACGTGAAAATCCAATTACCCGCAGCGTTCCACTCCACCCACCCACCTGCAGTGTGCCGCCGCCGACTGACCTGCAGTGTGCGTGAGACTTTGGTGATGGCGGCGAGCTGGTAAGGCTTGCGGGCGCGCATCTCCCCCATCACCTGCAGGCAGAATGCCTCTATCTCCTCGTGCAGGGCACTGTGCAGCGCTGCTAGAGCTGGCTGCGAGGAGGGGTCGCCCCGGCAGCAGCGATCCACCGGGATGATGGTGGGCAGCTGGGAGGGACATGAAGGGAGAGGAGAGGATTCAACACAAACTTTTGTCAATCCACGCCACGGCACCCAATCAACTATCAGACAACATTCACCGTGTCAGCTCACCTTGACTGTTGTCACAGTGAATGTTGTCTGATAGTTGATAGGGTGTGTCAGGCTCACCTTGACAGGATCGAGAGCGAGTGGCGGCACCAGAGCTCTCACTTCTTCAGGAACTGCCCTCCCTCCCATCCCCATCGCCCTCACGCCTCCCATCAACCCCTCTCCATTGCCTCCTCCTCCTCCTCCACCTCCTCCTCCCCCTTCGCTCACCCCCGGTCCAGCACCCATCGCTGCAGCTGCTGCAGCAGCAGCAGCAGCAGCGGCAGCAGCTGCAGGAGAGGGTAACCCCCACAGCGCCCTGCCACCCCCACCTTGACCCACTCCAAGCCCACTCACAGGCATCCCAACCGGCCCCCCCATCCCTGCCGCTACCGCCGCCGCCGCTGCCGCCGCCGCAGCAGCAGAAGCAGCACCAGCAGCCGCAGTAGCAGCAGCAGCGTTTTCTCTCAGCATCACCGCCTCTCTCGCTGCCGCCACCGCTGCAGCAGCGGCAGCAAAGCCAACGCCACCCGGAGCACTACCAGGCAGCAGGCCCCAATGCCGGGGGCTAGAGCTCCCGGATCGCACCCGGAAGTACCCTCGGGATCTGCCCGCGCCCGCCACAGGGGAGGGTGGAGGCGGGGGAGGTGCTTCCTGGGGCGGCTGGTATCTGAGCACTGGGGAGCTGGGGCGCTTCCAGGAGCGCATTCGCCCCGCCATGGCCGCTGCATGAGAGGACGGCTTGTTGTTGGTGCTGGTGCTGCTGCTGCCGCCGCTGCTGACACCACCGCTGCCGCTGCTGATGCTGATGCTCATGCTGCTGCGGCTGCTGGGTGTGGGAACCCTGATCGGCCCTGGAAGGGTGAATCCTCCTGCTGCGCTGATGGTGGCAGGTGCAGCAGCAGGAGGAGGGGGCGTGCCTGGGCTGGGGACGGCGGATGCTAAGCGTGGGCTTGGGGGTATGGCTGGGCTTGGGGGTAAAGCTGTGATCGAGGAAAGGGATGTGCCTGGTGCTGCTGGTACGGCTGGGCTTGAGGATATGGCCGTGCTAGGTGGTGATGTGATGGCTTGGGGAACGTTGAACTCAGAGCTCGGGTGCTGGATGGGCTGATTGTGGATATGCAGCATCTGAACCTGCTGCTGCTGCTGCTGGATTTCCTGCTGCTGCTGTTGTTGCTGCGATTGATGGGGACTTGAAGGGGCAGCTGTGGCAGCAGCTGCAGCTGCGGTTTCCTCTGCTGCTTTGACGGAAGAGGAGCGGGAGAGGGGAGGGGTGCGATGAAACATCTTACCACCGCCGCTGCCGCCAGTGCGCCGAAGGCCTACTGGTGTACTGCTACTGCTGTTACTGCTGGTGGTGCTGCTGCTGCCGCCACTGCTGCTTGCAGGAAAACCAACAGCAGACGGAGACCCAAGCACCGGCTGTAGCAGCTGAAGAGGCTGGGGACGGCGCGCCTGCTGCTGCTCCTGCTGCTCATCCATACCTGGACTACCTGTCGGCTCATCCCCATCCCCATCCCCCTGTCCGCTCCTGCTGCTGCTGCTTCTCCCTCCCCCTGCCTCCGCCTCGCCTCCCTTCCCTCCCGAACTCCCAGGCCGCGCCCCTGCCAGATTTATGCTCTGCCCCCACACCTCACCCTCACAACCTGCCTCTTCAGCTGCAGCAGGAAAGGCTGGAACCCCTGAACCTCCTTGCCCAATATCACTACCAGCTGCCTGCACTTCCACCAGCGAAGCAGCTGCATCAGCACGAGCAGTAGGCTCGGCGGAAGGTGTGGCGGTAGGCTTGGGGGAGTCGCGGGTGGGAATGGCAGCAGCGGCAAAAGCGGCTTCACGTTGTGCAGTTACGCACTCACTGCCAGCACTGCCAGCACTGCCAGCACTGCCAGCGTCCCTTGCATGCCCACCACCCTCCCGCTCACCACAATCACTCAATGCACTCTCACCCCTCCCTTCTGAGATTTCAGGACAGTCAGGGACTTGTGCTACTGCTGGTGGCATCGTAGCTGCTGGTATTGCTGCTGCAACTGCTGCCACTGATGGTACCACTGGTATTACTGCTGCAACTGCTGCCACTGATGGTACTACTGGTATTACTGCTGCAACTGCAGATGCAGCTTCTGCCGCTGTTGGTGCTTCTGCCGTCGGCGCTGCCGCTGGTGCCGCTGCTGCTGCTGCTGCAGTCAGTGGAGCAGCAGAATCAGTGACCCGAATGGCAGCTGCAAGAACCGCCCCGTTGCCTCTCTGCCCCGCAACACGAACCGGATCACTCTCAGACCGAGCCAACCCCATTCCCCGTGGCCGGCCTTGCTGCTGTGCCCCTGCACGCCCACACAACACACCCGTGTTGCCACTGGTGCCACCACCGACACAACTTCCACTGACAGCGTTGGCAACGCCAGTGGCAGAGGGGACAGCCCCACACAGCACAAGTCCCCCACTCCCCGACGACAAAAGCCGGCTCCCTCCTCCTGCCCCTCTCCCTGCTCCACCCACACCGCCGCCCAGCTCAAAACGAGGAGAAACGACTCCTGAAACCACTGCACCGGCCGCAGAAACAGCAGCAACACCAGCAGCGGAAATCGGGACAGCAGCTGCAGCGGAAAGCGGGGCATGGCGCATGTCAAACGGGCCAGAGGCAGTGGAGCTGGGGGACGGAATACTCGACCGATCAGTCGACGCAGCAGTCGACAGGCCCATCCCAGGCGGATACGACCCCGAAATTGACCCCGAAATCGACCCCGAGATCGGAAACCCCAGCACTATATCATCCACTATCAACCTCACATCTGCCTCTCGTCTCAACCACGAGCTATCCTCCGACCCTAACGAAGACCCCGTGCGGGAGGCGCCGCCGCTCGCACTGGCCCCGCGGTAATCCGCCATGTTCCAGTAGAACACCCCTCCGCCAAACACATTCCTATAGTCCACATCGTTATCATCATAAGAAAATCGCGTCTCTTCACGTGTACCTTCAGCCCCGCAGCTGCTGCCCCCAGGACCTCTACCCCCAAGTATACCTCCCTCAGGCGCCCCTCCCCCAAGCATACCTGCCCCCATTCCCGGAATTCTGTGCCCTGACGGGCCTTGGATCGCCCCTATTCCAGCCCCGCCGCCCCACCCCATTCCCGCAGGCCCCATGGCTCCATGCATGCCCTCTTTGCCGTGCATCCCCCTCCCCGACCGGTAATTCCGAGGGTAAAACACCCCTCTTCGCTGGGCTACCAGCGGAACGCTCTCGTCCTCTGAGAAATACCCCCTGTCGCCCGCACCGCCCACAAACTCGGCAAAATCCTCCTCTAACATTTGATAGTTCTCCCCTGCTAGCAACGAATCATCTGTGAAATTCTCCAAGGACCAATCCTCGGACTCCCCTTCCTCTGTGCCCTCGCCTGCTCCCCCCTCTGCGTCCCCGTCCCCATCCGGGCCATCCCCATCCTCACAGTCCGTCCCATCCTGGCTTGCTCTATTGCTTCTAGCCCAGCAGGAGAATCGCCTGGAGGGTGTTGACAAGGGCGTGCTAGGGGCTTGCACTGCCGTTTCACCGGAGTCATCCTCGTTATTAGCAGGTGCGTTGCTAGCAGGAGGAGCTTGGCCCTGGAATTCAAACTCCCCGTCACCCTGCCTAGCATGCTCACCAGCACTCGTCGCAGCAGCAGTGCCTGCAGCAGCAGCAGCTGTAGCAGCTGTAGCAGCAGCAGAAGAGCTCCTGTCTCTGCCAATTGTATTAAGCCGGCTGGCTTCGACCCCTTCACCCCGCCTTGACGGCACAGTGATGCGCAGGGGAGGATGGTGATGACCTGCACCCATAGCACTAGCACTACTACCTGCCGCTCCCTCTCTCCCTCTCCCTCCACTCCCATCTCCCTCTCCCTCCATTCCCCCCCTACCCGTACCACCCATTCGGCTTGCCCCTATTCCCGTTCCTGCTTCTCCAGCTGGTCCCAGCCCCAAGCCCCCTCCTCCTTCATCAGTCTCCACCGCACAATCCGTGTCCTCCCCTCTCACCCGTCTCCCATCCTCCCCCCTCACAAGACCTCCCTCCTCCCCTCTCACCCGCCCCTCTTCACTGCCCCGCTCCTCCCCATCCCTGCCCACGGCTTCGGGGACCACAGGCGGCGCCACAACCACTGGCTCAGGCAGGCAGTGGTGGAGCGAGCGAGAGGCAGCAAGAGGGGGTGCAGCAAGAGAGGAGGCGGCGAGAGGGGAGGGAGCAGAGGGGAGGTTAGGCAAGGAGGGATGGTGCACGTGTAGCTGGTCCTGGTCCTGGTTAGGGCTTGGTTCGCAACTGGGGCTGTGGGGTGACCCAGCCATGTGGGTCCCACCCTGCACTGCGCTCTGGCTGGCTGCTGACGCGTGTGGGTGGGGTAGGTGAGGCGCATGGAGCGCGTGGAGCAGATGGGGTAGATGGGGCAGATGGGGTAGATGGGGCGGGTGGGGAAAGTGGGGATGCGCGGAATGCCAGCTAGAGAGCGGGTGGGAGAGCGTGGCATGAGGAGGAGAGGAGTATGGGAGAGGTAGCTCCAACAACTGGAGCTCCCTAGGAGGCCCCAGCACACCTGGGTAGCGCGCATGAAACGCCTGAAACGGCTCGTCGACCGAGACAGTGTCTGAGGCAGATTCATAGTAGAAAGGGTGTGGACCGTGTGGTTGAGTTGCGGGGCCTGCCTCAAAGGCAGTGTTTGAGAGACAGTCGTAGTAATAGGGGCGCGACCAGGCAGGCTCTGCAGCCCATGTGGAGATAGAGGAGGGGAGCACGGGGTGCAGCGGATGCAGGTCAGGCGGGAGGGGTTGGAAGTGAGAGGGGTGGAAGTGGGGGAAGTGTAGGTCAAGGGGGTGTAAGTGAGGGGGGCAAGGGCCTAGTAAGCCTGCTTTGTTGTTTGGGTTTGGATGGGTGGGGACAGGTAGAGCGGGTTGTGGGGGTGATGGTGGTGGTGGTGGTGGTGGTGGTGGTGTTGTGCTGGAAACAAGGGCAGATAATGATTCAGGAGGGGGACACGAGGAGGAAGTCGCAGAGGCAGCAGCAGGAGTAACTATAGGATGTTGAGCAACAACAAGAAGAGCACTGGCAGAATTAGCAACCGAAGAAGAAGTAGAGGCAGAAGCAGAGGCAGAGGCAGAGGCAGAGGCAGAGGCAGAGGCAGAAGCAGCAGCAGAAGCAGAAGCAGAAGCGGAAGCAGAGGCAGAAACAGAGGCAGAGGCAGAAGCAGAGGCAGAAGCAGCAGCAGAAGCAGAGGTAATGGCGGAATCAGGGACAGCAGAAGTGGGGGAGGAGGACGAGGGCAGAGACGAGGCGGGGCGGGAGGAGGCAGGGGAAGAGGGCAGGCTGGGGGGGCGGGGAGGCAGCTGGGTAAGATGGAGGGCAGAGGGGCGGTGCCACACCCACGGCCACCGCCCTGACCCCTCCAGATGCAGCGAATTCAGCACTGATTCCTGCTGCTGCTGATGTTGCTGGTGCTGGTGTAAGAGCAAGTGGTACTGCTGCTGATGCTGCTGCAGCTGGTACTGTGGGTGCTGGTGGTGATATGGGTGTGCATGCGGGTGCTGGTGATAGGGGTGGGGTGAGTTGAAAGGAGGGGGTTGTAAGGGAGCAGCGGATAGGGAGCGGGGCCAAGGAGGGTGGAAGCCGGGCCACTCGTGGTGGGGGGACAGGCGGGAGGCGTGTCGGGGGGAGAAGGGGAGGCGCATTTGCGGGAACTGGCGCTGAAAGGGAAGCTCCTGAAGGGTCTGCTGCTGCTGCTGCTGCTGCTGCTGCAGCTGTGGCGGATGGGGTTGTGGTTGCACTGGGACAGGCTCTGGAGACTCTCCTTCTGGGAAGAAAGGAGGGGCATCTGGTGAAGGCACGAACTGCGACTGCTTGCCAGCATCTGAATCACTGCTGGTTTCACCCGCATGCCCCGTCTCGTTTCTCCCAGTAGGAGGGGCACCTGGTGAAGGAATTAACTGTGCCTGCCTAGCAGCCGGTTCTAGCCCCCTGCTGGTAGGTCGGAGAGAGCCTGAGCTGAATGACTGAGGGGAGGGCGATGCAGGGGAGGTAGATGTGGGACTGCAGGAAGGGGGTGTGGGAGGTGGAGAGGAGGGGAGGGCGGGAATGCTCTGTGATGTTTCACCCCGGGAGCGGCGCATGAGAGGCGAGAGGAAGGGGAGGGCCTGGGAGGGGTCTGTGAGCGTTGCATGGCTGGTCTTTGGGAGTTGCAGCAAGGGGAGAGGGGGGAACGCTGAGAGCGAGAGGTCGAGATCGACAGCGGAGGAAGAGCCACGAGATGAGGCAGTGGCGCTGCCATGTGTAGCTGTCAGCACCGAGGGGGTTGTGGATGTACATGCCTCACCCGCCCCAGTCCTTTCAGCGCCTGCTGCTGCTGCGGCGGCGGCGGCGGCTTCCCCTGCTGCCACCGCTGCTGGCATTGCAGTTGTCGGTGGCACATCAACACCTGCAGCTGCAGGTTTGTTACTAAGTGCTTGCACAGCAGAAGAAGCAGAGCTTAACTCTCTCCGACCCTCTTCCTTTCCTCCTTTGGCTCCTCCAGACCGTTTCCCTTGCCTTTGCAGCCTTTGGGCAGACTCCCCACCACCTCCACTGCCACCACCACCGCCGTTGCTGCCACCGCCACCGCTGCCGTTGCCGCCACTGCTCCCTGCCGCTCCTCTCTTGCACACCAAAAGCCACTCACCAGTATCACCGTCACCGTCACCACATTCCAGTGACACAAACAGACCATTAGAGGTAAGCGGCGCACTCACAGCTTCTATACCCTTCTGCACCATGTGGACAACCGGAGACAGCTCGCCACTGTTTACCTTTGTCACTCCACCCTCCACTTTTTCCTCTTCAGTACCCTTATCCTTAGCAGCCTCCAAATCCCCTGCATCACCATCCTTCCCCTTCCCTTTCTTCTTCTTCCGTTTCCGGCCCTTGCTCTGCCCACCACTGGAGCTGCTGCTCCCACCGTCCCCCTGTCCCTTCCCCTCTTCTCCCACCTTCTCCTTACTCTCCCTCTCCCCCTGCAACAGCTCCAGCTGAAGGGCTGTTCGCAAGGACGCGTCAACAGCAGAGGCAATCCGAATTCGTGCCCTGCCGAGCACGGACGAGGCCTCGGTGAGGGGGGGTAGGAGGGTGTCAGGGAGTATGCAAGGGGGTTGAGAGGGAACAGCGGAAGGAGAGGCGGCGTCAACAGCAGAGGCAATCCGAATTCGTGCCCTGCCGAGCACGGCCGAGGCCTCGGTGAGGGGGGATAGGAGGGTGTCAGGGAGTATGCAAGGGGGTTGAGAGGGAACAGCGGAAGGAGAGGCGGCGTCAACAGCAGAGGCAATTCGAATTCGTGCCCTGCCGAGCACGGCCGAGGCCTCGGTGAGGGGGGATAGGAGGGTGTCAGGGAGTATGCAAGGGGGTTGAGAGGGAACAGCGGAAGGAGAGGCGGCGTCAACAGCAGAGGCAATCCGAATCCGCGCCCTGCTGAGCACGGACGAGGCTTCGGACAGCGGGGATAGGAGGGTATCGGGGAGTATGCAAGGGGTGTGTGAGGGAACAGCAGAAGGAGAGGAGGCAGCAGCAGCAGCAGCAGACGCACCCCAGCATGATTGCAGGAGCTTCTCCGATTCGCACCATGTGGGCACATCACAAGCACCAGCACCAGCACCGGCACCGGCAGCAGCAGCAGCACCAGCACCAGCACCAGCAGCAGCAGCAGCAGCAGCAGCAGCATTCCTCGTCTCACCACCAGAGGCAGCAGCAAGGAGCGGGGCGAGGTCCATGAGGGCAAGGAGGCCGGCGATCCAGGGCCCGGCAGGGGAGCGGCCGAGGCGGTCCCAGGAGAGGGCGGAGAAGGCAATGGGTGGGCCGCACTGGGAGCAGGGGTTGAGGAACACACCGTCCAGAAGAAGGGCTCGTGGGACAGTGCTGGTGAGGGCGCCATTAGCAGGAGCAATGCTGCTGCTGCCGCTTGCAGAGCTGAAGTTGGTGCCACTAGCAGGACAGACGATGCTGCTGCTGCTGTCATTGGCGGAGCACAATCGGCGGGAGACGGAGTGGCGGGCGGCGAGCAGCGAGGGGTGCAGGGAGGCTCGGTTGCGGTGGATGATGCGGATGAGGTGGTGCTGGGAGAAGTGCGCCCGCGCTGCCTCTGCTTGCCTCACAGTTGACAGGGCCTGCTTGTTAAGAGTGGGAGGAGGGATTGGGGGGATTGGTGAAAGGATTTTGGTTGATAAAGGCTCTGTTGCGGCGGATGATGCGCATGAGATGGTGCTGGGAGAAGTGCGCCCGAGCTGCCTCCGCTTGCCTCACAGTTGACAGGGCCTGAATGGGAATGCAGGAAGATCATACTAATCAAGAAACATGTATGTAGTTGGTGGGGAATAAACCTCACTGAATGCGGACTACTAACATCAGATGATAACTTTACAGGCAGCAGCACCCAACTAAGGATGGTATTTTCACTCAACATTACCCACCCAACATGGTAAACGCAACTCGCGGCAAACTGAACGAGTACCAAATCCCCAACTCACCTCAGCCTTGGTAGCAAGGCACACGGCGCCCTGAAGCGCCTTTGCCTCCGCGCCCCCAGCGCCCTGCTTCTCCCTCCACCACCGCTCCACCCTCTCCACCCGAGACAGCGCCGGGCAATCCACAACTCTGCTCTCACCCCCGCTTCCACCACTACTACTGCCATTGCCACCACTACTGCCACTATCGCCACTGCCACCACCGCCCCTATCACCACCTGCAGCCACAGCAGCAGCAGCAGAAGCGCCTGTTTGGACATGAGCCCCCACTCCTGCCACCCCTGCTGCAGGTGTTGCTACCTGCGCCCCGAGGCACCTGGCGCGGTCCCAGGCGCCCCACAGGTGGATCTCCAGGCGGCTGGCAACAAAGGCCGCCAGCGGGTAGAACCCCAACGCCTGCAGCCACGGCAGCTCCTCCCATGAATACTGCCCCTGCCCTCTGCTTCCACTGCTGCTTCCGCTGCTGCTGCTGCTGCCACCAGTGCCGTTGCTACCGCTGCCGTTGATGGTGCTGCTGCTGCTGCTGCTGCTGCTGCTGCTGCTGCTGCTGCTGCTGCTGCCATTAATGGTGCTGCTGAAAGAATGGGCTCTTGCAGGCGCTTTAGTGAGGAATCCTCCCCAGGAGATTTCCTCCATGACCGTGAAAAAGAGGTCGACGTTAGCTAGTAACGAGTCAGCCAGTGTGAGGGAATCCACAGACGGCTGCACCTGGTCCTGAAACGACCCGCGTGTAATATTATTATTGCTTGAACTACCTGTACAAGCTACAGAAAACTCCTCTGCCGGCAGAACACAGGCCTTCTTTGCTAGAACCCCTGCATCCTGCTGCGCTGAAGCACACGGAGAAGGTGAGGAGGAGGCGAAGAGTCGGATGGCGGATTCGATTAGCCCAGAAGCCCACTGCTGCCGCCCCAGCCGCGTCCACAGCCCTTCACACCGCTTGAAGCAGATGGCGGGCAGAGGAGGACCCGTTGACAGCTTCTGTGAAGACAAATCCCTACTAGGTTTCCCTCCAAAATCTCCAGCTGTAACGGTAGAGCTCTTCCCACCCAGCAGCTCCTGCTTCCCACGCTCGGAACCAGAATTCAAAGGCTGCTGCTGCTGCTGCTGCTGCTGCTGCTGCTGCTGCTGCTGCTGCTGCTGCTGCTGCTGCTGCTGCTGCTGTTGCTGCTGCTGCTGCTGCTGCTGCTGCTGCTGCTGCTGCTGCTGCTGCTGCTGCTGCTGCTGCTGCTGCTGCTGCTGCTGCTGCTGCTGCTGCTGCGGCTTCGAAACGAGCTCCTGCACCTGCGAACCGGTCTTGTCCACTGGAAGGCCATCGGTCCTGAGTGTGCAATTCCCAGCAGCCTGTTGGTCCGGCCGCCTCGGTGCAACCACCACTTCTTCCGCCGCTTGTCTTGTGGTTCTTGAAACATCCTCCGCTCCGACGCGACCGTTGGGCTTGCCTTTCCTTTTCCCGCCACCTCCCTTGCTCCCCTTCCCTCGCCCTTTATTGTGACCATGGATTGCAGCAGAAACGACCGCACCCACACTCACACCCGCACTAGCAGGCGATTCAGCTGCACCCGGCGTTGCTTTGTGTGAGGCCTCCTTGGTGACTGTAACGGGGATTTGCTCGAGCATGTCCGAGAGAACGATAAACTGACCAGGGCCGTTCATGCGAACGTGAGCCGCCATCTGGAGCAGAATCTGCGTCCACTGCGGGTCCACTACCGTGAAAATCCGCCGCCGCGAGTCCACGTCTAACTGCTTCAACCATGCCTGAATTAGCTCCTTAGGCGAACGCGTGGGAGAAATTCTGACAGCTTTAGCAGACGCTCCTGTACTGGTTCCTCCTTTTGACCGTCTCTGACGTGGTTCCTCCTGGCCGGAGACTCTCGCGGTGGCGGAATTCGATGACGGCGCAGCGTGTTGAGCCTCGCGACGGCATGCAGTGCGGTGGAACGCGCCGAGATGCTCTGTCAGCGAATCCAGCAGATCCTGTGTTTCCGCCATGATGGCGTCTGTGCGTGTGTCTCGCAGTTGGGTTGACAGGAGGACTGTTGTGTCGAATCAAACGTCGCCCAGATGCTCCGTCAGCGCATCCAGCAGCTCCTGTGTTTCCGCCATGATGGTCTCAGAGTTTGCCTAGGAGGAGGAAAACATGAGTCGATTCAAAAGACGTGTCTGGTCGCCTGATGGTGACTTTTGAGACGACTCAAAAGTCGCTCAGATGTTCCGTCAGCGCAGCTAGTAGCTCCTACGTTTCCGCCATGGCGGCGTGTCGGAGTCGACTCGAGAGCGAGAGCAAGAGAGGGGACGTTGATGGGGGAACGAGACAAGGAGAAAGAATTCGGCTCGTCTACTGGTCAGTTTCAGCTGTTTTTGTGTTTCCTAGCACATGCTTACCCGTTTGCCAACAAATACGTCCGCTATAGTCGTAATACAGGAACAGCCGGGAAGAAAAAGTGACGGCCAGAATCACGTGTCGTGTGTGTAACACTCTACTAGCATGTACTGCAATAACTGCTACTAACACTCCGGCTTCAGCAACCCATTAGTCAGGGCTCCTGAAAAGTCGGTCTGTAATGGTGTTCTGACACTCGACTCAGTTTTAGAGGCGGTGTTCGCCAGCACCTTTGACATTGGAAGAAAATGGAAGGCATCGGGCTGGCAACGGCATCAGGAAGCGGGGCCGGAACCCTCCGAAAAGCGAAATGCCACCCGCGAACTTGTCAGCCCCGACATGGGAAACTTCACAACCGCATATGGAACCCCACACCCCACCTTCCCCCCAAATGGGACGAAAATTTGGCGCCACTGACCTGTGCCTGACTGGGCGCCAGACCCTACTGTACCAGGGTAAAAAACGGGAGAAAAAAACCCCATCTGTACTAGTTCTGGACTAGAGCAGCCCGTGGTGTATTCGAGAGAGTGGAAAATTGGGTGTAAACGAGGGCCTATTCGTGACTCCGGTGGCTGTGGTAGTGTTTACCCTTTGACAGCCAATTACATCGCCAAACCACGGCAGTCCACGTGAAATGGTGGATTGCCACGGGATGGCATGAGACGGGACGTTTGCCTGGGGAGGAAGTCACATCCCCATTTCCGAATGCCATGTTTCCATCCGAAAATCGAGAAAAATGAGGGCGTTCGCCAGGCACCAAAGATTGCTTTAGGTTCGGACGACATCCTAGCTTCGGCTCGAATTTTACGGGCTGGCCTTCCTGATCCCGTCGTTTTCGTTTTCAAAAGTGCTGGCGAACACCGCCAGAGTGTACTCGTGTTTTCGAACAGATGATGATGGGCCCAAGATGATGAAATGGATATTGCTCTGTCATTGCCCAATAAAACGGATATAGAACAGTGTAACACTTTCCAAAAAAATCCTAACGATCTATCAATCTCCAAAACGAGAACTTGCATTTTCCTCTTCTACCCTGGGTATGTCATATTCTCAAAATCTAGTAGAAAATGTTATCCTCATAGCTGATGAGTTAAGCGTACCTGCGTAGGTGCTCTGAATAATGCCACAGTGCTTAGCAAATATGGGTGGTGATATCAGTCTATTCTATTCAACACTTTTGAAGGCTGTTATATGAGAGGAGGGCCATACTACTGAAAAAAATCTATGGCTGATAAGGCTGATCTGACGATCTCATCATCCAAAGCAACCCTGGAAGGGATGAGAGGCAGTTTGCTTGGAGCAAAATTACTACCCTACTGGTATTTACAATTACTGGACAAAGGCACCAACGATTTCACCTATGCAAACAAATATCTCGCATAAAAAGCAACCGTTCGATGTCGTCTCTTCTGGATTTACTATCTCCGACGGTGCGACATCTGGCTCGCCAACTTCCGTCATGGTACGCGAGTCTTAGACCTTAGCAATGGCAACCTGAGACCCAAGGTTCACAAGACGGGTACACGTCTCAAAAAATATGGGCCCGAAATGTTACCTCGAGCTAACCCTCAAGTTGGCGCGAGGTAACCTTCCAGTATGTTACCTCGAGGTGCTCGTGGGGCTAACGTTCAAACTCGGAACTTGCCCACGGTGTGCCCCTCCACGTCACCTGCAGATCGCACTCATTGACAACCACAAACTGACCACAGTTCGCGCAATCCCAGATGATACGCAACAATTGGAGTGGACCACCTGTCCCTGCAAAGCCTGCCGGTTACCAAGTTCGTAACACGGCTTATACCTTTTTACTTCTAAAGTTGCAGAAAAATATAATCACAAATTTTAACTAACCGTACAATCCCATCTGCTTAAGTAACGTTTAGTATCAATAACAACACTATAGAATCTTAAGCGAACATGCAATATTAGTTACGTTAATACATAACCCGACAATTTT